GTCATCAAAAGTAAATTTATCAATGCTAATTGAATTAGGAATGAAAAGAACCTTCTAGAAGAATCTAGAAGACTAAAACCATTCCTAATTGCATTAGGAATGATAAATCATATTAGGCCCTCCCCTAGATCATTGGGCCGTATATAAGGTTCAAACCGGACCCAGTTTAGTAAATTGGCCATAATTTCCTCAATATTCATCGGAGTTGGGCTTATAATATATTGTTGGAAAGCTCTTGTCAAGTCCCATCCAACTACACCACTATTGGACCCATATCATGGACCAACCAAACTGGATTGGCTGTTTTTTAATATAAGTTTTCAAAAACAGAGAGGAGAAAAGAAATTAAAACTATCCGCAACACTAGACTTTCCACACTTTCGCTTCATTCGATTATGATTCGACGCGAAAGGTACTCATCACTGGGTTTGGTTTTGGGGAGACACATTTGGGTTTCCACACAGGGCAATGTCACCCGGTACCATTCTAATCCTTTTAGGGTTGGGGTTGTTAGCGACTTTCGGCGGCTGCTGATAGTCAGCCGCAAAATTATCCTGGTCAGAGCCAGAAGTTTAGGCTCTCGACCTTTCACCGGCCTCATCATCGTCGGATCCATTAGAGGAGGCGGATTCTTCATCGCCTTCCTCTCGTACGCTCGAGCTCCCCGAAGAAGAGGGAGCCTCTTCATCAGAACCGCTCTCCTCCAAATCCTCATGTTCCCCATCCAGAACAATCTCATCGGCTGTCACTGCCATAGTGCGCCGACTCCTAGACTTTTTGGCCATCTGTTTGACTCTGGCCATTGTGTACTACACAAACACATAGAGGGAGGAATTCGGAGATGAGCACAAAAATTCTGACAGTCCAGAAAAGGCACCCCCTGTTCTAGACTCAGTCGTTCCGGGGGACCGGCTGAGTGTCCTAGGCAGTGCCGAGTGTGTGGATTGAGAACTCAATTTTACTTCTAAACTATGTATACAGGCGGAGAAAGAATGTATACAAGTTAAAAAAGAGAAAAGCTAAAGTTGGTACAGGCGGTTACCTTACTTTAGCTCTGAAAAATCGGAAACAGCTACGGACGGTGAACCGGGTGTTGCAACGTTAGCACGCGAGAATCCCTGAAAATTCTGATTATAGATGAGTGAAACGAGGGCATTCCTGTTGTTACTGTTCACCCTTGATGGGTGGACACATGTCACATGTGTCACGTGACATGCACGTGACCCCTGTGAGGGGCAAATGTTTAGGGTAAAAATACCCTAGACAGGTGGACCAATGAGAGGAGGCCACGTGGTGAGCTTAGGATGGCTCAAGTGCCCCAATATCCTCTTGACACGTGGCCCCCTCAGATAGGCTTCTGAAATGGCGGCCTTCAAGAGCCCAAATCCTTTAGAAGCGTTGTAAAATGGCGCAACCCACTAAAATCTAGGTCAAGTGACCTAGATAGGGGCACATTCTCCAATGACCCTATTAATAGGGAGATATTTCCCTATTTTGGGGACACATTTAATCATTTATTACAACTACATTCTCTCTCATCAGAAAAACACCCGAGCTTGGAATCTAAGCAGATCCCCACCTAAATTTCCGCACTCTTTATTCTCTTTCAAGTTACTAACTTGATCTTCGGAGGCAGAGCTCCAACCACCCGGAGTCTTCGTTGTTTTGCGGGTACAACTCAGCCGGACCAATCTTTGTGACGTAACTCTCCCGAGGGACAAAAACACCCAAAACAATGCCCATGTATTTTTATAAAGAGATTTGTTTCATGATATGTCATAATTGCAGTATATGTTGATGATTTGAATATTATTGGAACTCTTAAAGAGATTTCAATAACAGTAGAGTGCTTAATGAAAGAATTTGAAATGAAAGATCTTGGAAAAACTAAGTTTTGCCTAGGATTACAAATTGAACACCTTAATCATGGAATCCTTGTGCACAAGTCAACATACATAGAAAAGGTTCTTAAAATATTTTCTATGGATACATCATATCCATTGAGTAGCCCTATGGTTGTTAGAGCACTTGATGTAGAAAAAAATCCCTTCCGACCTTGGGAGAATGACGAAGAAATTCTTGGTCCTGAAGTACCATATTTAAGTGAAATAGGGGCATTAATGTATCTTGCTAGTCATACACGACCTGACATATCATTTTCAGTAAATTTGTTGGCAAGATTTAGCTCATGCCCTACCTGAAGGCATTGAAATGGGGTTAAGCATGTACTTCGTTACTTTCAAGGTACGAAAGATATGGGTTTGTTTTTCTCTAATATATCCAAAGAAGGTTTGATTGCTTTTGCAGATGCAGGGTACATGTATGATCCTCATAATGCTAGATCACAAACTGGATATGTGTTTATGTGTGGAGGTACTTCTATTTCTTGGCATTCTATGAAACAAACAATTGCAGCTACTTCTTCTAACCATGCAGAAATTTTGGCAATCCATGAAGCTAGTCGAGAATGTGTATGGTTAAGGTCTGTAATTCAACATATTCAGACATATTGTGGCATAAACTCCAAGAAAGAAGTTCCAACAATTTTTTATGAGGATAATGCAGCATGCATCGCGTAGCTTAAGGAAGGTATATCAAAGGTGATAGAACGAAGCACATTTTACCAAAATTCTTCTACACTCATGATCTCTAGAAAAATGGCGATATAAAAGTCCTTAAGATCCGCTCAAGTGAAAACTTGGCAGATTTGTTTACTAAGGCGGTCCCAACAGCCACATTAGAAAAGTTAGCTTATGGCATTGGGTTGCATCGTCTTAAAAACCTCAAGTGATGTAGTCATGAGGGGGAGTTAATGTGCGCTGCACTCTTTTTCCCTTAACCATGGTTTTTCCATTGGGTTTTCCTGGTAAGGTTTTTAACGAGGCAGCATCTTATGCGCATTATAGTGTATTATTTTGTACGTTTTTTTTTTTTTTTTTTTTTTTTTTGTCGTAAACTTTAATTTTAATTAGTTATAATTATCCAATGATGAACTTAATAAAACAGTTAAATTAATATGTAACCATAGTAAACATTTTTTTGAATAAAAACAAAATCTAAAATTCCTAAAAGTCCTCACTTAATGCACTCAAAACCTATCTCCTCTCTCCACCAACCCCAACACCCCCCTCCACCCACCAGCCAACTCCTCCATTTCGACGCCTCCCATCTCGCTGGCGGCCTATGCTTCTCCCCCTTCCAATCCTCAATAATTATCTCGCGGAAAGCAACCCGTAATCATCTCGATTATCACTTTCTATCCAAAAAATAGTCATCCAAATTCTCAACATAGCAATGTAGTTGACTGAAACAACAAAATAATCATATCAAAGTTTCACTTATCATTTTATTGTTGGCCCTTCAACTCATTACATTACATAAGTCAGCTGCATCTATCCTTCGCAATATTTAAGCTACCGTAAGAACTTTTATTTTAAAAAGTTTGGGAACTTCTATAAATAAGATGAGCTAGTCTATTGCTTAATGTTTATTCATTTTCTTTTTGACATTACTAAACTCCAAATCTTGGTGCTTGTTATGGGTAAAAATCTGCAAAGGTTAGTCAACGACAGTCAATAAAGGTCAATGACGAAGACTCCTCTTGACGAAGGCGCAAGCTCGACGACGCAGCATCAGCATTGACGGAAGACGAAGTCAAGTAACAACTCCCTATTTTCTAGCAAGAAATAAGTGAATACTTAGTCCAGGCTTAGCTAGTTTAGTCCGTTAGGATTCTATTCAATCTCCTTGCAACGGCTAGAATTTAACCTAGCAATCGTCTATATAAAAGGCAAAGCAACAGTGAGCGAAGGGCAGTTCCATCTAGCAATATACACACTACGATCCTTATTGTAATCCCTTATCTTTATTTTTTGCATAGTGAAAGTTTGGTAGATCTTCATTCTACCCGCGGTTTTTACCTCCATTGGGTTTTCTGCGTCACCAATTCCTCGTGTCGTTTATTCTTTTTCTTATTGTGTTTTACCTTTGATTTTGCTTAGTTGATCCGTAGCCTAGATTTTGATATTCAATCCCACTTAACAAAAATTAGCATAAACAATTTGGCGCCCACTGTGGGACTACAACTAGGTAAAGTCTAAAAAACCCCCCATTAACCCTTCAATATGTCAGCTGACGAAATGACCCCAGAACAACCAAAAGCTGCTTATGAGAAAATTCAATCCGACCTTGAAGCAGCTAGGGAATCCAATGAGCATCTTAGCAAGGAAAAGGAGGCGTCAGAATCTGATGCAGCTACTCTCCGTCAGCAATTGGAGTTCGCCCAGAGCAATCGTCATCATCGGCCAAGGCAGTTAGATCTGATCCCAAGGATGCCGCCGCTGGATGACATAGAGTCTCCGCATGATACTGATACCTAGTCCAATGACGGAGATATGAACTTGGACCCTCCAGTCAGGAACGTCGGGCAAAGAATTACTTGAACTTCAGGGGACGACCAGGGCAACCCGCAGCCGGACCAGACGAAAATCCTGCTCCTGAGGTTGGCTGCCTTAGAAAAGCAGAACTCCAGGGTGCTGTCGATGATGAAGAAGATGGTCGGCGTGCCGATCCCTTTTCAGCGAGAAGCTCCAAATGGATTCGCAGCGACCCCGTTTTGCGACGAGCTGGCCATGTCCCGGATTCTCAGAAGGCTGCCGCTCCCGACGTTCACGTCGCTTTATAATTGAACGACCTGTCCCGAGCAACATGTCGAGTATTACAATCAGCGGATGTGGCAAGCTTCGATCCCATTTAAGTGCTGGGAGGCATGCATGTGCAAATCATTTGGCGCGACGCTGACAGGCCCCGCCCTCAAGTGGCTCGCCGAACCAAGTAGTATAACTAGTTTTTCTATGTTAGTTACAAGTTCTATTCCCATTTTGAAAGTAGCAGGCAGTTCGACATGTAGACAAGCGATCTATATCGGATCGTCCAGGGTCCCAAGGAGACCATCAGAACTTATTGGTCTCGATTCAACAAAGAGAAAGTCTCAATCAAGAATGTCGACAGCAGAACTGCCATTGAAGCCTTCCTCCGCGGATTGCATACAGACTTGGACCTGTACAAAGATATGATCAAATATCCCTGCTAAACATTTGAAGAGGTCAGGACCAGAGCTGTGGCTTAAATACGCTTCGATGAAGATATCGCCAATCGCAGCTCCTATCCAAGTTCCAGAATTTCGTCCGATCGGTAGACCCCAAGCAACCCAAGGGTATCATGGCGACACCAGCCTTACGAGGCATTAGGTAGATCACGTTCTGTTAATTCTGTGCAGGTCGAAGATATCCTCGACGCCCCGCAATACCCCGAAATATCGGAGTATGGCTTTGACGTGAATATCGTAGCAGTGGTAAAGGAGTTGGAGCCCCTAGGAAGTAAAGTGCGCTGGCCGTCGAAGAGCAACAAGCCAGAGTTGGAGAAAGATATGAGCAAATGGTGCGAGTTCCATAGCGATCATGGCCATAAGACGGAAGACTGCTACGCCTTGCGAAGAGAGGTCGCCTTCCAGTTGAAGAGAGGCAACCTCAAGCATCTATTAGGGAAAAATAAAAGCAAGACGCAAGTCGTCATCAGCCAGAAGTGACGACAGCCAGACCTCCGAAGCCTCTTGTACCTAAGGTAATAGTTAATGTTATCACTGGTGGTTCCGATATTTGTGGACTAACCTATTCTGCAGCAAAGAGGATCGCAAAGTCGACAATAGATAATGCAGATGTCCCTGAAGAAATCAGAGACCCCTTGGAAAAGAAGCTGGAGGCAATGTCAATTACCTTCGATGATGACGACGTCAACAACATTAATAGAGAGCATGAGGACTCTTTGGTAATTTCTTTGGTCGTTGGGAATTGTCTGCTTCGAAGGGTACAGGTCGATGGAGGAAGCTCCGCAAATGTCCTGTTCAAAAGAGCCATGGGAGACATGGGGCTGAAAGATAGCGACATCACAAGAAGGTCAACGACTCTAGTCGGTTTCAGTGGAGAAAGCATGTCAACTCTCGGAGACATAACCCTTCCAACCTATGCAGGAAGCCTAAACCCTCAAACCAAATTCAACATCGTCGACTGCCCATCAGCCTATAATGCCATATTAGGACAACCCTGGATCCACCGATTGAAAGCCATCCCTTCTACCTACTACCAATCAATCAAATTTCCCACCCCATGGGGAGTCCAAGAAATTAAAGGAGAACCTCGTGAAGCCAAACACTGCTACAAAACAACCCTTAAACCAACCATGAGAACCGCATAGCAATTACAGCATGACCCGACACCAGACAATCCCAACGACCTCGAAATTGACGAGATACCTTTAGATCCCGAAAAGCCAGATCAAACCGTCCGTGTCGGAGCCAATTTAACACTTGAACTCAAAAACACTATCCTAGCCTTTCTTCGAGAGAACAAAGATTGTTTTGCCTGGTCTCACGAGGACATGACTGGTATAGACCCAAGCATCATCTCGCATAAGCTGAACATCGACGCAAATCATAAGCCCGTCAAGCAGAAGCGTCGGAAGTTTGCTCCAGAGCGAAGTAAGATCATCAATGACGAAGTGCAGCAGCTGATCGACACTAGAATGATAAGAGAAGTCAAGTATCCAGATTGGCTCGCAAATGTTGTCGTCGTCAGTAAAAAGAACGACAAGTGGAGAGTGTGCATCGACTTCACCGATCTAAACAAAGCCTACCCTAAAGATCCGTTCCCGCTCCCGCACATTGACGCCATGGTAGACGCGATATCAGGTCACGAGCTCTTGACATTCATGGACGCCTACTCCGAATACAGCCAAATCCTAATGCATCCCAACGATCAGGAGAAGCCGACCTTCATGACCGACAAAGGTATATATTATTATAAAGTCATGCCTTTTGGACTAAAAAATGCAGGTTCGACGTACTAGAGGCTAGTCAACAGGATGTTTAAAGATCAGCTAGGAGATACGATGGAGGCATACATCGACGATATGCTGGTGAAATCTAAGAAGTCGAAGGACCACGTCGACCACCTCCGTCAGAGCTTTGAGGTATTGCGAAAATATGGTATGAAACTTAACCCTATTAAATTCTCATTTGGAGTATCTGCTGGAAATATTTTGGGCTATGTAGTAACACAAAGGGGAATTGAAGCCATCCTCGACCAAGTCAGAGCCCTAATAAATATTCAATCCCCCCGAAATGTTAAAGAAACCCAGAAATTGACAGGACGAGTGGCAGCATTAAATCGCTTCATCTCTCGATCGTCAGATAAATGTCATCTATTCTACAAAGTTTTGAGAAAAAATAAAGGTTTTGATTGGAATGACGATCATGAGAAAGCTCTGCAAGATTTAAAGAAATACCTAATGACGCCACCCCTCCCGTCGAAACCCAAAACTAATGAACCTTTGCAGCTTTATATTGCCGTCAGCGCTGTGGCTGTCAGCGCAGTCCTGATGAGCAAAGACGACGAAGCTGTGAAGCTCTTGGTTTACTATTTAAGTAAAACTCTACTCCCAGCCGAGGTAAGATATACATCCCTAGAAAAATTATCCCTCGCTTTAATCACTGTTGTTAAAAAGCTAAGGCATTATTTTGAAACCGACCACGTAGTAGTAATGACTAATTATCCACTTAAGTCTGTTTTGAGAAAACCAGATCTAACAGGACGTCTAGGCAAGTGGAGCATTTCGTTAAGCACGATGGACATCGAGTACCAACCCAGAAAAGCAATAAAATCCCAAGCCCTAACAGATTTTGTGGCTGACTTCAGCCCCGACTTACAGGCCATAGCTAACAAAGAGGTAGAAGAAACCAACAATGTGCAAAACGAAAACAAGTGGATCCTGTTTGTCGACGGCTCGTCCAACCAACGAGGGGCTGGCCTGGGAATGGTGCTAAAGTCACCACAAGGGGACATGATAGTAAGGTCTATCTTGTGATTTTAAAGCAACTAACAATGAAGCAGAGTATGAAGCTTTGATTGCAGGAATGACCGTCGCAAAAGACTTAGGTGCCACAGCCTTGGATGTATACAGTGACTCCCTCCTCGTCATCAGCCAGATAACAGGTGACTTCGCAGCAAAAAGATTCCAAAATGACAACATACCTCGACATAGCCAAAGAAAAAGCCAAACATTTTGATCCTTTCACCATCTCGCAAATCCCAAGAGACCAAAATGCCCAAGCCGACGCATTGGCAAACCTAGCCTCCGCCCTCAAAAGACCACCTTCACAAACATCCCCTTAGTCCATTTGCAAAAGCCATCTGTATCCTTCAAAGAAATCCTAACAGTCAACGACGTTAACAACGACGACGACTGGACCAAACCTATCATAGACTACCTGACCAAAGATATCCTCCCCAGTGACAAAGCAGAATCATGAAAACTTAAATACAAAGCCTCCCGATACCACATCATTGACGGAGTCCTGTTCCACAAATTAGTGTCAAGGTTATCCCAAAGATGCATCAAGAAACATGAACAACAATCCATCCTTAGCCACTTGCACGATGGAATATGCAGTAGTCACGTCGGAGGGAGGAGACTAGCCAAAATCGCAAAAAGATAAGGATATTTCTGGCCGACACTTCACGAAGACGCAGTGCAATACGTGACCAAATGCAACAGCTGTCAACGGTTCTCCAATACAGTCCATAAACCGTCGGAGCCCCTCCACCAGACATTATCTCCATGGCCCTTCATGAGATGGGGAATGGACTTGCCGGGAAGCTACCCGCAACACCAGGACAAAGGGTCTATATGTTAGCACTAACTGATTATTTTTCTAAATGGATTGAGGTAGTTGCTTTGAAACTGGTGACGGACAAGGAGGTCATTACGTTCATATGGACTAACATTATATGCAGGTTTGGAATCCCATCGGTGATCGTCTATGACAACGGGTCACAGTTTATTAGCGACAAAACTCATTCTTTTTTGCAGAAGTTCCGCATAGAGTTGAGGACGTTGACACCAAGGTACCCACAAGCCAATGGGCGGGCCGAGTCCAGCAACAAAGTTGTCATGGAAGCCATCATGAAAAGACTAAAAGCGGCAAAAGGCAAGTGGGACGACGAGCTCCCATCAGTCCTGTGGGCCAACCGGACGACGCCAAGAGAAGTAACGGCGTAGACTCCCTTCTCCCTTGTCTACGGATGCGAAGCCATTCTCCCAGTTGAAGCCGATTTCCCAACGTCAAGATTCGGTCTCATGACGGAGGAAAGAAATCAAGAGGAAATGGAGGACAACTTAGACGCAATTGAAGAACTAAGAGAGACAACGTTAATCAGAATGGCGGCACAACAAATCGTCGTAAGAAGCTTCAACAAAAACGTCAAAGCCAAGACATTTCAATTAGGATATTGGGTACTCTGGAAAGCGTTCCAGAATACAAAGAATCCAGCCGACGGAAAGCTTGCTCCCCCATGGGAAGGACCATATGAAATCACCCAAGTCAGCGGCAACGACGCTTATCGGCTAACCGACCAACAAGAACATCGATTGTCAAAGCATGCGACTAAAGGAAATATAGGATTTAGCCCTGGCCTAACTGTAAGAAGCAAACGACGACAGACGTCGGCTACACTGACACCCTTTAAAAAGGGTGAGTAAAGCCTTCGTTCAAACGACAATCGAAGCACGACGAAGCACGGGGAAAACCTGACCTTAGCGTCCGACGCCAAACACCCGACACCTAAACTACGAACTAGACTTTAGTGATTAGCGTCGACGCTGGGACGCAAGGGGCATTGGCAAACAAATGCAACGATAGGCCTAAAAATACAATGTCTCCGACAAAGCATACTGTGTAGCTACAAGATATTTTTTTTCATTTTCTCTTGTTTATCTTAAAGTTAATAAAGATTGGAATTTTTGAAATTAGAAAATTTTGACATGTCATATTCTCTTTAAAAACAGATTTTTATGAAACTTTGCATGTTTTACTTCGCGTATATAGATCACAAACCAAGCAAATGACGGAAAGCACGGAAAGTCTTAGCGTAAAAAGAAATAAAAGTGAACTGTCAAGGAACCACTTGCCCTCAAGTGGAACAAAAGTACAAAAGCACAAGTCATCAAACCGAAATACAAGTTCTGAAGCAAAAGCAAAAGATTGTTTAAAAAACATACAAAGAAAAATCCCAAACCATCATAGACGACGGCCTTCAAGCATCAATTTCGTCAGCGGAGAGCCCGTCAACGACCTCCTTGACGATCTCATCAACACGAGCATTGTCATCAACGACTTCGACCTGCAACTCCTCAGCACCTCCGGCAGATTGGTCGACAGCAATAGCAGATTGGTCGACAACGACACTAGGCTGGTCGTTGGCAACCACAGGCTGATCCCCAACGACTGGAGGTTGGACGTCAACAACAGCAACAGATGGAACAATCGTGACAGATGGGCCAGGACCCGAATCCACAGTCGACGCCACCGCAATGTCCTCTTCCAGCTCGTCGAGGGTTCCGCCGTTGACCAGAAAACGGTTAATCACCTCCCAAGGATGCCAATCCGAAGCCTTACCGTCCAGAAACTACTTCATCAACTTCGCCCTCACCTTGATATCCAGTTCGGCATAGTCGTCCAGCGCATCTTCCAACTCCTTTTGGGTCGATGTTAGCTCCTCCTGGACCTTCGACAAAGCCTCATCCTTAGCAGCAATAACCCCCACCTTATCCTCCAAGTTCTTAGCCTGTTCCTTCAGCTGATCCTTAAGCATTTGAGTTTCCTCCTCCATCGTCTTCGATTGAGTCTGCAGCTGTCTTTCCAGATCGTCCACCTTCTTTTTTGCCTTGTCCAACTCCTTCTTGGTCAGTTGGAACACGTTAACTGCAGTCTTGCGCTAAGCCTCACTGTTCTTGGCAGCACCGTCCAACCTTTGCATCTCCTTAGCCAGACCAATCACCCTCTCCCTCTACACCAGAGAATTTTGCAAACACTGGCCAAACATATCCCCAATTACAAACCAAGAAATCAACCTTGCCAAACAAAACTAAACCAAAGTAGGAACTTACATATAAGTGAACCGAAGCGGCTTCAGAGGCTATGTCCAGGACATACGTCCCAGCCAAGACCTCCCCGGACTTGGGAAACATCAGTTGGTTCAGGGCGGGGAAAAGAGAGTGTAGATCGTCCTTCCGATAATCCAATAAATTGGCAAGAAAGTGCATCAAGATGTCGGGAACCGAGGGTTAATCGTCAGTCTTCTGTTGCTTGCGCAGAGTAGTCGCCGACAATGTAATAGTTCCTGATTCTTCGACCGTCC